GTACCCGGAATGCATGCATCGGTGTGTGAAGCTATGAAGCTAGTTTCTGTTCGATGGGACTTGCCCATCGCTGGTGTGTGAAAGGGTGAATGTGGCACGCTTAGTGTTAAAAGCGCTTTGAGTGGTCGGAAGGACTAGAAAGGCCGCTATACAAGTACAGCGGTCCATTTACCATTTAGCCATGAAGAAGCTTTTGTAGGGGTGAGAGGAGCGACTTAAATTGTATCTGAATTTTACCAGGGAGCCAGGTGCCAGAGAAGCTACATACAGAGAAATATGGATCTCTTGTTCCTAGTCCTGTCAGGTACTCGGCGCCTGGCAGCGTTGCTACATTTAATGGAGCATCTTAATGGACTTATTGATAATGAAAATTGCAGTAGTCACATAAAGTAACGAATGCATGGACTAATTTTTCTGCCATCCGTCTGCTGACAGGATGTCTGAATTTTTGTAACGTGACGTAAAGAAAAAAGGCAGTCCTGGAGGTTTGCTTTATGTGGGAATTAAAGGACATGTCCTGATCAAAGATAACTCCAAGATTCCTGACAGTGGTGCTGGAGGCCAAGGTAATACCATCTAGAGTAACTATATCTTTAGACAGTGAGTTTAGGAGGTGTTTGGGGGCCAAGTACAATAACTTCATTTTTTTCTGAGTTTAACATCAGAAAAATGCAGCTCATCCAGCTTTTTCTATATGTGAGAGCAGAAACAACATTTAGAGCTTTATTTTATTCGGCTAAAGGTCAAATTCAGCAGTTATTCCACCTTAATGTGAACATGTGAAATTAAGGTATCGTCTTTAATAACAGATTAACTAGTGGTTCAGAACATAATAATTATTAAGTTTGCAGTTTGCAGCGTAATGCCAGAGTCCATTCACAAACTGAAGGAATAACATTAATGATAGTTTACATTCTTTCATTCAGCCAGCATCAAAAAGTTTTTCCTGAAATCAACAGTCATCATAGACTGGTGACCTTTATATTGATTAAGGCTGTACGTATTTTACATGTTGGTTGGTTTATTCGTCATGTTCTCAGGATGTCCACAGTCCATCCGACAAACACATCGATCACGTTTCTCTCAGGACCAGCTGATCTGTTTCTTCTTGTCGTCGCTTTCTGTCGGCCGTCTTTGTTGTGTCGTCACCGTGGCGACCGTCCGTCAGCAGATCAGTTCAGATCTGTTGATGGAAGACATGAAGCCATTTTAACCTGATGTGTCCGTCTGTCTGAGGACGTCTCGCTGCGTCACATTAGCGCCAGCGATTAATAAACTGCAAAAGGAAACAAAATGAAACAAAAAGCTGCTTTTGCTGATGAGGGAAAAGATGGAGAAAGGAACGATTGATCACAGACTGTTGCTGAGTCACAACAACATGGCCGCCGTGAGATGGGATGAGTCAGTGAGTGAGGTATAATGGATAGCACTCACTGTCTGTCTGTCCTCCTCTTTGATTGGATGGATTCTGATGAAATGTGGTTGTACCTCTCAGGATGAATTCTAATATCTTTATTGATCCTCTGAGTTCTCCTCTAGCGCCATCGTCAGGTCAACATTTTCATTCATGGAACAAGACTCTGTACACGGTGAGCATGTTAGCATGCTGATGTTAGCATTTAGCTCAACATGACCGACTGCAAAACTAATTTTTTACTTCTGAACCTTTAGTCTGATAGTTGCTTTACAACCGAGCAGATCACATGATGTCCTGTACAATCTAGACGGGTGGCATCGGGTGTTTTAACATATTGAAGGGCCAGTGTTTAACACTGAGGAGGATTCATTCATCAGTGTAAAATCACTTGTAAATAGGAATTGTTGTTTTCGTTACCTTAAGGCCCTGACGCACCTGACCGATGGTGTCCGTCGGGTCATCAGTGACCGTCTTTAGTTTGAGGTTTTGTGGCCCTCACTGATCATCAAACACACAGATATAGATATAGATAAGAACCAGCAGCTGTTTTATGAACAAACCAAAACAACAACAAAACACATAACTTCGATTGATGATTTTGTTTCATTGATGTTTGAGTGAAGCACCGTCAGCGTGTTGCCATGGCAACAGAAACAGAGAAGAAGTAATGCTGTTGGGTGAGTTTTCTTTTAATTCAGTGTGTTTGTACTGTAGCGTTGATGTTCACAAAGTATTCTGTGATTTAGAGGCTCAGTTGCCTCACAGAGCTCCATTGAGGATGACTACTAGCTGTCTGTAGCACCTCAGCAACAACTCACTGCCACAATGTCAGCGTTATCATTAACTGAATACTGCTGTTCAGTCTGCTGCTTTCATGTCTCAGCTTTAAGAGCTTCGGCGGTGGTATGGTGATGTGGTGGACGATGAGAGAGTTGAACAGAAATACAAAATCAGTTTCTTCCATTCGACACTGAGTCGACCCGTCAGGTCACTTTTATTTCCTCTTTTATAAAACCCCAAAAAAAGCTGAAAAGACTCCAACAAACAGAATCCTAGAGTGAAATTCTGCAGCAGGAGAAACTTACAAAATCAAAGAAATACAAATCTAAACTGAATTCACTTTTATATCATTGAGCTTATAAAGAGAGAAAGGAGTTAGTGTTACAAATGGCTGCATGGCTAATGCTAATGCTAATGCTAATCAGATGCATTGAGACGACACAACATGAGGAGTACAAAAGTAAAAAGGCTACAATAAAATAGAAAAAAGTAAAGAAAGGTTTTATAAAACAGAATGAAGAAACAGGAAATGATGTCATGTTGTTAGAGGCGGGGCTGAGGGCAGTGGGTGGAGTTTAGTTCCTATAGTTTTTGTCCTGGAAAGTCTCAGTCCTTTGTATTTTTTATACCATTATATTATATTTCAAAGCAATGCCACCTGCAGGATCACATGACGCTGCAGCACTTACACGGCTGCTTCTCCTTCTTTATCTCCACCGCTCCTCCCTTCACCTCCACCGCTACTCCCTTTGCCTCCTCCGCCTCCCCGTTACTTGCCACTACTGGTGCCGCCTCTGGAGGTTTTGTGGAGGGCGGCTTGGTGGCTGCGGCGGGGGGAGGCACAGCTGTGGTCTCCTCCTTCCCTTCGCCCGGCGATGTTTTCCCGTTGGCGTCGTCGATGAGCACCAGCTCGGCCTTCACCGTCCCCTGCAGCCCCAGAACCTTCTTGGTTTCATCCTCGTCCTCCACGTTCTGGTAACCCATGAACACCATGGTGACGGGGTTCTCGGTGCTGGCCTCAGCCAAACTCGGCTCGCCGCCTGGTTTGGCCTCCAGCCCAGTGATCTCCGCTGGGACCGGCTGCTCGGGACCCGCCTCTTCCTGGACCTCTGCTGTCGGGAGAGAGGTCACCGTGGCAACAGTCTGTGATATCACGGAGGCCTCGTCGGCTTTGTGGATAAGCTCTTCGACCTCAGAGAAGCTGAGCAGTTGGACGCCATCTTCACCGTTCATCTCATGGACCACTGAGGGACAGAAAGAGACACAATCAGCATCAGAGTCCCGATCACACCTGATCTCCAGCTGAAGGACCCAGAGAAACAGAGTACACCTGTACATCAGTAAAGCAGGTGAGAAGGTAAAGGTTTACTCTGTAATCAGACCTTCAGCTGCAGACATCTTCCTCCTCCCTCAGGTCCAAATGGACTCACCTGACTGTCACCTGACTTACAGGTGAGTTTGTGTTTTCTATGTTTATCATTTGACACGAAGCTTCACTATTAGAAACATGAAGGAGGCTGTGTCAGGGATTACTTTAAGAGACGTCGTTTTGAGAGTGAAAACAATTATAATCGTATAGAAACACTGTTATAGGAACATTGTATTTGTGTTCATTATATATATATTTATATATAAAGTAATATGTAAGGCTCTCCGTTTCTGACATTCAACAGAAACTGTGGCATATAAAGGTTTTTTCCCTTTAGACCACTTCTGGCTTAGGTTTTATTTGCTGACGTCACCTTTCTGCTCGTCCTCGTAAACTTTGACCCCTTGGTGAGAGAGGTCAACAGGAAGTGTGGTGTTAGTGGACAGAACCCTGGTTTCCCCCGTCACTCTATCCCGCTCCACTTTAATCTCCACCGAGTACATCGCTGGGGGGGGGGTTGGGGGGGGGGTTAGAGGAGGTCACACAGGGTCAACAAAACAAACAAACACACGCAAACACGCATACACACACACACTCACACACTCACATACACACACACAGACACACAGACACACACACTAAATCTGAGACATTAAACTGAAACTGACAGACTCACACAACCAGGGAAAGACAGACAGACAGACAGACAGACAGTTGTTAGAGACAGACAGGTGGTATATGTCACACATTGTCTACTGTGTGGATGACGACTCCTGATGGTCGTATGAGAACAGAGTTGCTGTTAGCATTAGCGTTGGCTTTAATCACCTGGAAAGATGATGTGCAGCGTCCATGTTTGTTATGGTATTACTTAGCTTCCTGTCAGATATTTCACTGTTTCACAACTGACCCTTCCTAAACTCCGCCCCTTTTGGGACTGTGCTCCAATAAACAGCTTGAGCAAGTTCTCCGTACTTAGATACTTTTTCTCTCTAGAGCTGATCAATATATCAGTCTATATACTGTTAGTGATCAATATATCAGTCTATATACTGTTAGTGATCAATATATCAGTCTATATACTGTTACAGGTGTAGATGGGTCATGCTGCTGGAGAATCAGGTCAGACCCACATAGATGATGTGACGTCCTCGGGGGGGTTGAGGAGGATTCAGGCTGCAGCGGATTGTAACTGACAGAATATCTGATCACCGTCTCACCGGCACAACTAATATACATACATACATATAGTATATATATATAATGTATATATCATATATCATCACTCTATTAATATTACCTGTACTGTTGCACATTAATCAGTTCAATTCATTTGTATAACACCAATTCAAATAGAGCAGGTGGTGCACAGCAACAGCTATACTAATAGAAATGATGACGTTGATAACGACTCCAACAGCCACAATGATGGGCAATGAAGAACCACAACAACAACAACAACAACAATATCAGTAATATTAGCAGGGGGGGTCAAGCAGGACCACCGGGATCCCCGTAAACCTATGAGACGAGAAAGCACAAAAAAAAGAAAAGAAAAAGAATCGCAGACAGATTTCTCCCTCAAATATATTTGTAAGCAGAAAGCTAACGTTGTTAGCATCTTTGGTGTAACAGAGGGGTAGTTTGGTTCCTTCACTCAGACGTTACAGTCAGACATTACAGTAATGTATTAAACATTATTTTTTATAAAAATAAGTTTGCCTTTGAGATGAGATGTTTGTGTGGATGCAGAAACAAGGTCATGCTGCTGAGGCAGAGAAAATAATAATGGAAGTCTTGGATGGAAGGAGGAGAGTGGTTCACCCTCTCTCTCTCACAGAGGGAGGAGAGAGGGAGGATTATGAAATCACAGCCTGCAGCTGAACAGTGAGAGATCGACTCTCTGCAGACTCACAGTTGATTCAGATGACATGAGTTTAGGTATGATGATGTTCGAGCTTCCTGTTCACTGCTGTGGAGGAAACAGCGGCAGGAAGAGATGTCGACACGTTGGAACTGAACCGCATTATCCAGCAGCAGAGTCGAGATTCATCTGGAACTTCTGGATCTCTGGACATGTTTCGTTGAAGCTTTTTTTATAAGGCAAACTTTTCTTACACACCAGCTCCAAGAAGACCTGCTAAGAGGAACAGCAGCCCCTCGTCAGGTTCCCTTATAGATGTGTTGGAGATTTCACAAACTCAAAGCTCGGAGCACATAGATGGATCTGCTGAAATAGGATCTCAAGAACTCAAACCTCTGTAGATTTCTGAACTTTTTTTTCATCTGAATTTAGATGCTATCTACCAACTTCATCAGACAAGACAAATCCAGGAGTTGACCCCTGGTTGGATAATCAATTGAGTTTGAAAGTAGTTCAGTTTAAGAGTTATGTGATGTGACTGACCATAGAAGAATATAGTCTGATGAGGACTGTTGTTTGAATCCTGGATTTCAGTTTTCCTGTGCTGATCAGATATGGATCCAGATTCTGTTACTGGGTTGAGTATTTCTCTCCTCAAATCTGTTCACAAACATATTTTACTGTTTATCTGGAATACCAGATGGTGAGTGAGTAGCTCAACCCACAGTACGTCACCTTGACCATCAAGGCTTCAAAACTCCACAAACCAATGGGTGACGTCACAACAGGTTTACAGTCAGTTAGCGACCACTGCTCTGAAAGAAAAATAGATCTCATTTCAAACAATCTGAGACTTTAACTATTGCATGAACAGCATCTAGTGGTCTTCTCTGGTCATCTCATCTGTTTCATCGCCTGCTTAAAGACTAGGGATGGTTCCTCCACGACCTCCTGCTAACAAGTGCCATGTCTGTCTGACGGCAGTCCTCATCATGACGAGCCTGGCGCTGATGGACGCCTACCTGGTAGAACAGAATCCTGGTCCCAGGAGGGTCGGTGTGTGCGTCACCGTACTGGCCGTGGACGCGTGTTTCCTCATCGCGCTGCGATATGTCGCCGTCTGGGCTGGGTCGGAGGTCCACACAGCCAGACGAGGCTACGCCATGATCCTCTGGTTCTTCTACATCTTCATCCTGGAAATCAAGGTCTATTTTGTGTATCAGAACTACAAGTCTCAGGATGTAGATGCAGAGACAGATGCAGGCGTGTCCAGGAGAGGTCTCACACTGCTGCTGTCTGTCTGCATGCCCACTGTGTTCATAACTCTGGCAGCCATAGATCATTTGGAGTACCTACGGCCGTACAAAAAAAGAGAGGAGATACGGAGTCGTCTCTTCTGGGTGGTGGTGGACCTGCTGGATGTTGTGGACGTTCAGGCCAACCTGTGGGAGCTTCAGAGGGAAGGGCTCCCCCTGTGGGTGGAGGGATTGATGTTCTTCTACTGCTACATCCTCCTCCTGGTACTGCCCTGTGTCTCCCTGAGTGAGATCAGCATGCAGGGGGTGAACATTGTCCCACACAAAATGATGCTCTACCCAATCCTCAGTCTCGCCACCATCAACGTCATCACCCTTCTGATCCGCAGCGGAAACCTGCTGATTTACGGGGACATCCGAGTGTCTGGGATCATGATGGGCAAGAACGTGATCGCTATAGTCGTGAAGTGCTGCAGTCTGGCGCAGTACAGGAAACACCAGCAGGCTTCTCCTCCCGTAGATCGAGGAGCTGAGATGCAAAAGAGCTCTCTGGTGGACGTTCAGATCAACAACATCCAGCCGTTGGTGCTGCCCAGAGTCGTGATCGAGGACTTCACCACCATACCGGAGGAAGACGAGCAGAGTGAGGACGAAAAGAAGCAAACGTGAGCAAAGTTGATAATGACTCATGACCCACACTGATGAGCAACCAGGGGTCAGGAACAATTTACAGGATCACATGTAAGGAATTGGTTACACACCTTCAAAGTACGCTGGCACTGGTGCAAGCTGATCGGCACTTGGTATCCATGAATCCGGGGAAGTACTGGAAGTAAACAAGTCGGGAGCGGGGCCCGAACGAGCCATAGAACCGGAGCGGGGCAGACCGACGGAGGCCAGCTGATGTTCAGCGACTCCGACCAGGACTCTGACTCTGATGAAGACTCAGCGGGTTCAGGCAGAGACAGGAGAGGTGGGAAACGGAGGAAGAGGAGCCAGTTTGTAGCCAGTTAATTAGTCAGTAACTGTTAACATTATCCATCGTATGGTTCAGTCAGGATCAGTTTCAGTGAAGTTGGAAGTTATTTATTCCTTGTGTTGAACAACCAGACTGTGTGATGTTACACTGGGTTGGAATAAATCAACTAAATGTTCAGTTTCCTTGTTAGTTGTTCTGATTCACAATAATTACTGCTGTTTAACAGATTATAATCAATACAGTAATATCAGAAATGTTCAACGACTAGTCCACTAGTCCATTTTTATCGGGGACAGCCCTAGAAAAAACATTAGTTTATATTCATTAATTATTTTCATGAGTGTTTAGTGCTAGTACTGAAATGTATTTATATTCTGAAGTGGACAACAGAGCACGAAAGAGGAGAATGATATTAAACAAACTGGCTGCTGACTGGAAGGCTGCAGTACATCAGTTTGACCACAAGATGGAAGCAGAGGGTTTGTGCTATGCTGCCAGGAAACTGAGAGCATGATGATATTAGCAGCATACAGGAAACTACTTTTCTTTATTTAATCAGGAGAAAGTCTCATAAATACTACCTGTCTGCTTGCCTGCCTGTCTGTCTGTCTGTCTGTCTGTCTGTCTCAGTTTTTTGTAATCAGTTTTGAAGGGGTTACTTTAAAGATAATAATCTGATACAGTTACTAATGAACTAGTTGGCTGTTAAAACTGTAGTGAGTAATCTAATCCCAATATTAAGAAGTATTGATGAGTTCCCAGTTTACAGTTAGTGCACACAGCAAGAACAGGATGCTCAGAAGGTGACAGAGAGCCAGAAATAAAGAACAGGATCGAAGGTGGATGATACACAAAATATAATAATAAATATAAATATATATAAAAAACAACTGCTGATTATGATTACATCCACAAAGTGTCTGAAAAAAGTTTTTAATATTTTTTGCTTGAAAAAGGTCTTAAATTAATAATCAATCATTAAAATAGTTGCAAATTAATTCTCTGTCGATAAACTAATCAGTTAATTTTAAGTCTGCGACACATTTGTGTTTTAAATTTGTTTACAGACGTGCTTTTGTTTCTACAATGAATGAAGGCTCCAAGAAATCTTTATTTGTGACTTTTTAATTCTTTACGTAACAGCTGCAGGATTCCTTAAATGTTACTGAAGAGCAGAAAGCCAGAAAATACAATTCAATTCAATAATACTTAAAGAATAAAACAGAACAAAGTACAGGTAATATACACTTTAATTTACACTAAATAAGAAGGCCAGGGGACCGAGTGCCTTTCCCTTAGGGTCCATATACATACTATATATATGTATATACTTTTAGACAGACCTTTACTGTTTATTACTCAGGTTCACTTGTAGAAAAAGGTTTTAATCTGCTGAACTTTCTACTTGTTGGTTCAAAATAAAATTAGAATGACTAATGTTGCATCTGCATACGTCCTTCAATACGAATAAATTTAAGAATAAATATATAACAAAATCTTTAATCCAATAATTTGTGTCTGTAAATCATTTGATTTATGTTCTTTTAGTAACAAAAACAGCTCTTTATCTGTATATAAAGAGATTTTAAATACATACAGTATGCCTATATATTCAACTGTTTTGAATTGCTCTGTAGAATAAAACATGTGAATACATAAAGAATGATTTTATATTTATATTTGGTAATAAACTCATGCAGGAAGGTACCACACTGAGAACATAATTCTGTTCAGCAGACATATTGGATTGTCAAAATAAATCAAATATTAGTGTTTCCATCTCTACACTGGTTCTGGATCAGTGAAGCTCTACGGGGTTCCTTCTCATCCATCCATCCCTCCCTCAGCCCCGCCCCGCTCTCTCTCTCCCAGCCGGACTGGAGGATCAGTAGCCCGGCGTCACAGCGACCTGCCGAGCCGGAGAGGCGACGATGGCGGCGGCAGCGGACAGAGGAGTCCGGGGGAGCGCTTTCCCACCGGACCCGGACCCAGCAGCCGGGTCCGGTGCTGCTGGAGAGGCCGACGGCCGCGTCCCGGTGCCGATGAACCTGTTTGCGACCTGGGAGATCGACCGCTCCTCTCCGAGCTGCGTCCCCAGGTAAGAGGATTAGTGTTCGGCCGGAGAGGAGCGCCTGGACGCGGTGAAAGGAGGAAGGAGCCCCCGCTGCGTTCAGTGAGCTCCATGGAAATAATAAATCTGTCTTATTATTATTATTATTATTATTATTATTATTATTACTTGATATACTGTTAATTAGAACTGCAACGATTTATTAATTAGTTATCAACTATTTTCAGGGCCGTTTCTAACGTTTTGGGGGCCTGTGCAAAATGTTGTTCAGGGGCTCCTATTTTACACTAACAGTTATTTTCAATGAGATCATTTAAAAAATGTCAGTTTTTCAAATGGAGTTTGGAATGTGTGACATCTTAAACATTTATTAAAAAGCTTCATAATCTAAACACACACATTTTATTATAAATTTACATTTAACTCCTTTATAATCTGAGGGCAAAATGTTCCTTTAATTTGCAGGATTAAGGAACAGTTCACCTAAATAAACCAATGTTTGAATATCAGAGCTGAAGAAACATTTAGAGCTTAATTTTATTCCGTTCAGAACAGAACATAGTAATTATTATTATTAGTTATTCAAATTGAACCATTAGACAATATTTAAAATACTGAAATGTGCAGTAGCCTCAGTGGATGTTCTGTTTGCAGCGTAATACCAGACTCCATTAACAACTATTGAAATTTAATGTTTTTAGTGTCACCGACTGAAGGAGTAACATTAACAATATTTTACATTTTTAAAGTTTCCATTCTTTAATTCGGCCAACATCAAATATCCAACACGATCAAGATTATGCCAAATTTTTACTGAGCAAAAGAAAAAAAATATTTGAAAAAATTTGTAATCATAGACTGTAATGCAGTCTGCTGTCTCTGGTGGCTTCAGGGGCCCGATGTAAACCGCATGGCAAGAAACTGATTAATCTGATAATCGAATCGAAAATTTGTCAGCTGGTTTCAGCTTGAATCTTTCTGGTTTCTTTCGTCGTCTGTGGCAGTCAACTGAATATATTTGAGCTGCGGAGGAAACAAGACGTTTGAGGACATTTTACACCGTTTTCTGATCGACAGATTAATCAATGAAAATAATGGTTGCAGCATCAGATTTTGTGACTCAGTGGTTCTTAACTTGGGACCCGCACATTAACATAGTAACATCATTTATTTAACATTTAAACCAACATCAACACAACTATCCCGTCAACATGAGCTCCTGGTTACAGGTCCAATGTGTAGGCCTAAGTGGCATCTAGTTTCAGATTGCAACTCCTTCGCCTCACCCTTACCTTCCTAGTGTGCATGAAAAACTCTGGTCTCTGTGAAACTCACTGGTGACCCCAAAGGTTCCCTTCCAGTGGAGGAAACACAATACTTATCTGCTTTACTGTTTCATGTTCGCTTTCTTTTTTAGCTCGCTGTTTTAAATAACAACCAGAGACTGTTGTGAAGAATTGATAGAAAATTAAATGTGTAAAATCGTTTTTTCTTTAAAAAATACGCTGACTCGTCTTTTTTCATTCAATCTTCAACCATCGCTGCTGCCTCGATCTATACAGACCTTCCGAGGGGAACGCTACTACTCTGCATTTGGGTCCAACCTGTTGTTCTTCTGGTTTTTCCTGCTTTCTGACACATTCAACTGAAATGCATTTAAAAGTTTAATAAACACGCTTTTATCATGGAACAGAAATAAAGACAGAAGCTGCTCTCCTTCCCTTCACATCTGACAGCTCTGTGTTTATTCTTCAAACTCAAGGTTGATGAGTTTTTGTAGAGGAACTACATTTCCCAGAATACTCGGAGCTGACTCCCCTGACCCTGGATCAGCAGCATCATAATGGACTTGTGACATCACTGATTACATCACATTACAGCAGCCAATCAAGATACAAGAAACACATGGAAGAATTATGATGCAGCTGAAGATTAGTTTCCTCTCTGATCTCTTAACTTGTGTGTTTGTGGGCAGATTAGCAGCAGTGTGACCATGTGGGGGTTAACGACCAATCAGAGTTAATCCTCTTAAATGGCCGCGCTGACTCAGGAAACAGCAACCTGTTGGTCTTCACAGCAAAGATTACAGCAGAGGGATTCATTCATGGGAAAGAGAGTCAACATTTGTTGCACATTATTAATATTTTCTATTTTCTGTGTAAAAAACACAATAAACAATAATGATAAAATATAACCAAAGATATTCAGGTTTAGGTGTTGGTGTTGGTGTTCCTCATGGATCCATTATAGGACCACTACTTTTCTTTACCCGAGCAAAGCTCTGCTCAGTCTGGTGTTATTCCACATTTACTGTCAACGTGTCTGACTTCCTGTCTGTGGCTCCTATTGAACAAATATATGGTTTCATTTAAAAAACAAAATGATGACAGAAAAAGATTCACTGAATCTTCAGCTATTTGTATCGTGATATAACTTTATATTTCTATCTTTACACTATGACAGTTCACAATATATGTTGTTTTTACAGTATATTTCAATTTTTATTGAATTGTAATCTCTGTATTGGGAAACCGGGTAAATACACAGCCCTACAGGAACGTGTAAAATTAGATTTTAAGAATAAACACTAAATGTTTTTAATGTAATAAAAATTATATTCATAATAATAAGTAAGAAAAGTCATAATTTTACAGTTACAATTCAGAAATATTTCCAGAATAAAGTCGGTTGGTTCTTGAAGTGAGAGGTCGTCTCTTTCTGTGCGTGCTGCAGAGCGTTATAGGTCGGAGTTACGGTGCAGGTGAGCCAGCATTAGCACGTATTAGCTTGTCTCAGCTGGTGTTGACAGGAAGCTTCGGTGCCGAGGACTAGTCCCGGCATGATCCTCCAGTAACAAGATCCCAGGAGGACCAGATCAGCAGTCTCTACCTGATCCACCCTCCTCGCTGCCTGATGTGAACATGGAACTGAAAGAGGTTTCCTTCAGGACGCTGATATCAGTCTTCAGATCTCAACATATGAACATTTAGTACTTTTAGTTTAGCCTCGTCTGGGGATGCCAGGGGATTATCAATGTACAAACACATAACTGTATCAGTCATTTGGGTGAAACTGGATCATATTTTATGGAGAGAATATGATCTGGTCTTGAATGTCCTCCACCTGCTCTGAATTAACTCCACTAACTGCGACTGCGACCTTCACTAACTGCTAGCTTGTCAGGAAGGGGGATAAATAAAGGCTAAAAGGTACCGCTGGTGACGTGTGTCAAGCACTCTGTTGAAGGTGTCTGAAGCAACTCTATGAATATTATATTACTGTTCTAACAGTCTATCCTCCTCCTCAGTGATAGACCGATAATAAAAGGTCTGTTGGAACTGCAGCTTAGTTTGTTTTAAAGAGCAAAAAAACACAATTATGGGTCTGGTGTGTGTAACTGTGACATCCTGACAGGAACCTCCTGTATTCATGGGGGTTTTTACGTATGTAATGAATGAATCTAACATTATTGTGTCTGATGTTTCGTCTCCAGGTTGTGCAGCCTGACTCTGAAGAGGCTGTTGGTTTTGAAGGAGCTGGACAGAGAGCTCAGCTCCGTCGTCATCGCTGTTAAGATCCAAGTGAGAACATCAGCTGTGATCCACTGATGCTGTCTGCACATCCACTACTTTTACTTTTAATGGTGCTAAATTGAGTTAATAGGCTTAAAAACCACACAGCAAACTCACTGTATCCATGACAACATTATACTTCCTGTTCACATCCTCCATTGTTATAGTCAGTTTGGATTGGGATGTTTTCAGTGAGGCGGCGTCGGCGTAGACGGTTTAATTTCCAGCTCACATGAAACACGAGGACACAGAAAGTAGAAGCAGCTTCATTGTTGATTAATATCGTATCTGTGCAGTTGTGTGTACAGTTTGTGTACTACAGTGTGTACTACAGTGTGTGTACTACAGTGTACTACAGTGTGTATTACAGTGTACTACAGTGTACTACAGTGTGTGTACTACAGTGTGTACTAACAGAAGTATTCGATTTGAGACACATCATTAAAGGATGATTATCACCCAAATAGACAAAGAACAATGATAATAAGTTTGGATAGTTTGCATCGTAACATTATTAATGTGATCCTGTGTCTTTCTCCACTCTCTCAGGGCTCAAAGCGAACTTTAAGATCCAACGAGTACCTTCTTCCTCCGGACGGCCTGATGGAAACAGACCTGGAGCTCACCTTCTCTCTGCAGGTCGCACATTTAATCTTTTCTTTCACACACAAATCATCAGACTCCTTTTCTGTTCATCAGTTTCATATTCCTGCTCCTCAGAGGATGAATCCTCTGAGGTTACTTCATTTATCACTAGAAAGGATTGAAGGCATTAAAATTGCGTCTCTCTGTTCAGTATCCTCACTTCCTGAAGCGGGATGTGAACCGTCTGCATGTGATGCTCCAGAGGAGGAAGAGGTACAAGAACCGAACCATCCTGGGCTACAAGACCCTCGCAGTGGGAGTCATCAACATGGCCGAGGTAGGACAGAACGTCAGACTGAAATATATCCCATCCCCCTCAGGATGAACTGTAATAACGTTATTGATCCTCTGAGTTTCCCACTGTCCATCAATATAATGCACT